AATTCTTCCCAGAAACTCTATTCAATAATTGTTATAAATTTATATCGAGAAATTTCTTTAATAACTAACACTTTTTGTCATAATAATTCTTATCTATCAGAAATCATTCAATAATTATTATAAAATTATATCGAGAAACATAAAAAGAGGAGCACCACAACATTAGATATTGTTTGTGAAATTTAATAAATCATTACATTAATAAAAAATCTTTAGATGTTTCGGCCACAATCTGGCCATCTTCAGTAAAATCATAAATATCAGTAAAATTCAGAATTTATATATATCTGACATTAAATTCAGCCGTCAAAAATATAAATATATGTAAACGTTTTCTTTCATCTTGTGAAGATACATCATACAACATGATTGCAGCGCCAATTATCATATTGCAAGTTATGTAAAACAAGAATTTCCAGATTCTTTAAAAAATTAAACTATCGTTAATATCTTCTAGTCAATTTTATGAGGATTAACAAATCGTTACCTGTTTTACAGACAAAATGATGAATCTTAAGCACTTTCCTCACGCAGATGGAAATTCATCGTGACATTGTGTATTATTATTTATCCATATCGTCATAGTTATGCTATTTATATGTAACGAGACAAGAAGGAAGAATTATCTTCGATATTTATAAAAAAACCTAATTCAGGGAAATATTTGAATTATTATTCGAATCATCCATTAGTGCATAAAAGGAGTATAATCATCGGACAATTAGACAGAATATTGTTTTTATCATCCAAAATTTCAGGAAAAAAATATTTCAGACTTAGTTCACACTCTGTTAATGAATGGTTATCCTCTTGAATTCATTTTTTCAACAATAAAAAACAGAATAAGAACTTTAGAAAATAGAATTAATTTAGATAAAAATAGTGAGTGGAATAATAATGAAAACGATTCTAATTCCAATTTAAGAAAAAAATTTTTTGTAATACCATATTTAAGTAAAGTATCAAAAAAATTTCACATAGTCAGGACTTTAATATTGCTTACAAACCTATAAATAAATTTAATAGATTTATTAAAACTGGAAAAGATCGTGTATGCAAAGAGGACCATTGTGGAGTTTACAAGATAAATTGTCTGGACTGTGAGTCTTCTTATGTTGGCCAAACAAAAAGGAAATTAAAAACTTGAATCAAAGAACATAAGATTAACATAAGAAGATCCATCTCTGAGATATCAGTGATTTCACGCCATCAAGTGAATGAGATGTATGAATTGGATTGGGATATTAGAATTTTAGATACAAAATAATCATTATTTAAAAGAAGAATTTCTGAAATGATATACATAAAAAACCAAATAAGTAGTATTAATAAGCAAAGTGACACTAAAGGTTTGCCTGATATTTCTATTTGCCTTTTTTAAAAAAAGATATCTCTCATACTTAAAAATAATTCTAGACAATCTAAACTTTTAACATATATGTAAATAGCGGTAACATATGACGATGAACAAATAATAATACATAATGACGAATTTCCATTTGCGTGAGGAAAGTGCTTAAGATTCATCATTTTGTCTGTAAAACAGGTAACGATTTGTTAATCTTCATAAAATTGACTAAAAGATATTAACGATAGTTTAATTTTTAAATTAGAATCTGGAAATTCTTATTGTACATAACTAAATTTCACAAACAATATCTAGTGCTGTGGTTTCATGCTCCTCTTTGTATATGTTTTGAATCATAAACCACATTTGTTTTAATTATTTATTTTGATTATATCGAGTTTTTATAAGATTTGCGAAGATTGAAGTCAGGAAATACATGAATCTGGAAATTCCGTGTTTTCCATACGACGTCTTACAAAGTCTCAAGTAACAAGGATTCTATAATTATTTTTTTCTATAAGGGAATATAATTTTATTATTTTAAATTGACTAACGATTAATTGTTAACATTCTCTTTAACGTATGTTAAAAAAGAATGTTAAACAATTACATAAAGACGATGTTACATATGTTAAAGAGAATGTTAACAATTAATCGTTAGTCAAAAATTTAAAATGATAAAATTATATTCGCTTATAAAAAAAAATAGTTATTGCGATATAGAATTTCTCTTTGTTACTTGAGATTTGGTAAAAGTTCGTGGAGAAACTTCTATTAGAAACTTCTCGATGTAAATTTCTAACAATTATTGAATGGTTCCTACTAGGCAAAAATTATTACGACAAAATGTGTTAGTGATAAAAATGTCAGGGGAACCACCCCCAATGATCTTGATCTTGACATATGTTGTCAAGGTCATGACCTCGAGTGACCTTGAAGAAGTTTTAATTGTAGGACGTTACTCGTTAAGAAATTATAAACGGACGAAGTTTAAGAAATAACTTCTTTTTACTATATGAATTTACTGCTTTAAAGTACATTCCCTTCTGCTTCAAGGACGCACGACTCTCACTCCCTCCCCTCTCCCTGCTTCAGAGGCGCCCAACTCTCACCTTCGACTCTCACTCCCCCTTCCTCATGCTTCAAGGGCGCACGACTCTCATTCCCTTCGCGTGAAAAGTCGTTACCTTCCTAAGTAGAGAAGGAGAGAAGGTAAATCTCGCTTCGCGAGATCAATACATTGATCTTGGATTACAATGTATTGATATGTCTGTTTTGATTTCTTCAATCATTTTGAATAGTATCGATCGATATGTTTCAGTTAGTCTCAGTCAGATTATTTCGACACAAGTAAGACGCTTTACAAACGTTGAAAATGTATTTACATGAATTCATTAATATGATTTACAATTTCGATCGTCTATGGAATTTTCTGTGTGATAAAGAAGTTGTACGTAAAGAAATATTGTGTCCAAGATGTGAAAATGTATTGACACTAACAAATGTTAGGGAAAATCATATATTCCATTGTACAAAGCATTATTATAAAGTGAGTAAAACTCGAAAGCGACAAAGAGTAATTTTAAAATTAGTGCGTTCCATGGAACTTGGTTTGAACGAGCATTTAGAGCTTCCTACAATATGTCAATTTATTGCGTACTTTGTAAGGGTTGGGGGGGGTGAGAGTCGAAGATGAGAGTTGGGCGCCCTTTTGCAGGGGGGTGGGGGAATGTACTTTAAAGCATATAGTAAAAAGAAGTTACTTCTTAAATTTCTTTGGTTTATAACTTCTGAACGAGTAACGTAAGATAAGTATTTTTAAATTAGGGATTATAAAAACATATTATATCTTTTTAATCTCTAGGATCATAATTTAAATATTTAAGACAATTTAAATAATAAGAGTATACAATAGAGACACGTAATCCTCCTGTATATATGCTAATGTCTAAATAATTAATATAAGTAATTAATACACACATACACAGTTTCACTCATAGATTTTCATAATTTTTTAAACATTATTTCACATACATCTTTACAATCATATGTTTAAAAATCTTGTGAAGTATAACTATTATCTATATATTATATATAAGAATAAATAAATCGAAGAATTTATGAATACATATAAAAAAAAAAGAATTGTAGCAATATTTGTAATATGAAATTAAATCTTTTCCTTTTGAAGATGATATTTCACTGCACAAATTTGAAGATTTAGAAGCATTGAATGTTCATGGTTCGAGATTCTCTTGTAATCAATTTTTTTATTAATATATAAAATAAATTGTAATTGTTTATGTAATATTATATGTATGGTAACATACTGATGTGACGATTTTTTTGTTAAAGTCATTTGTAACAAATTATATCGTCTAAAAGTAAAACTAACGAAACCTATACAATCCAAAAGATGTATACACGGTATTATGTACAATAAAAGCTAAAACTTTATATAGATGGAACTCTGAAAAAATACAATTGGAGATGCTTACAAAATCGTCTTTTACCGCTCATGTTAAGGTAATTATTTTGTTATTTTAATTAATAATTTATTATAATTCTTACAATATTAGAGAGATATTATTTATAATATTATGCTGCATGTCATCTTATCTTCAATATACTTTAATAATATTCAAGGGTGATGTAAATCAGCCACTAATGCTTTAATAACATTTATTTACAGTTTAATGATAAACATTACTATGGAAAAGGACTATCTAAATATCACTTGCTCGTCAAGATAGCTGAAAAAATATTAAAAGATTTATTTGACAAAATGGTAACAAAATCTAAAACATGTACATTTGGTCAATCCGATACACAAGCTGCTAATTCATCTGTGGATAAAAACAAAGAAAAGATTGACGCACAAAACGCCATAGTCATGAGTACTAAAGATGAGATTTCATTGAAAGTGCATTGGCCAATTTTGCACTTCATATCTCTAAATCTTTAATTAAAGTTTTATCCTGTAATTAAAACTTCTTCAAGGTCACTCGGGGTTGACAACATATGTCAAGGTCAAGATTATTGGGGGTGGCTCCCCTGATCTACATTTTTACCGTGTTAGTTCTAGAAACTTCTCGATATAAATTTATAAAAATTATTTAATAGTTTCTGATAAGCAAAAATTATTGTGACAAAATGTTTTAGAAAATTTAGTATTTGATTTTTTTAAGAAATTAAAAATTATTTTGTAAGAAAAATATTTTTTAATATCGTAAAGTACGTTTTCGCACGTTTAAGATACAGAGACGCTCCTGAGTCAGAGCGTCATGTGAGCGCCGCCGAGCCTCGAGCGATAGTGAGGGTCGCTCGGCCGAAATGTGCAAATCTTTGCGAGCAGTGATTTAAACTTATTTATTACATTTCTATCAGAACAGCAAAAATAATCGAAATTGTAGGGCCTTACATCCGCAACGCATGAGAGGTGAAAGAGAAACAAGCATCAAATGATGTTCATGCATTACGAATGTAAAAACGTAAGGATCATCATTAAAAACAATTCGATGCAATCTATTGATAGTCAAATTAGTTTGATAAAATAATTAATTCCCATACAGCACCAAGTTTTTAAAAATATTTCAGAAATTTTTCATGTCTAAATACAAAAAATTACGCGAGTAATAAAAGAATGCGAGGAATAGAAAAATATGTATTAAACTTACAGTACCCGGCATATTGTCGATCACATGCGTTGATTTGAATCCCAGCATAACAATTCCCATAGCGATTCCAACCGCTTCACCAGTCACGGCGTCATTTTGGTACAAATTGGATTTTAATTGTTCATAAACGTCTTCTCTACGCGAATCCATTGCAGTCAATCTAAGGCCGAGGCAGTTACCATGACAAACCATCTGGAACAAGTTTCAAAGGATAAATCACATGAAATTTAATTATTGCAGTATTTAATTTATAAAAGATCTACCCACATTATTTTATATATATATATATAAAATTTGACAAATATTTAGTTTAATAAAAAATAATCAATTATTACATACATAAAAATGTGAAAATTTAACATAAAAAAATATTCCAAAATCAGTATCAAATGCGATATACCTTGTTTTAGCCTAAGAGATATCGATAGTGGCCCCATGATTAGCATGTAAGTCCCAAAGCACATAAACCATTCTCTTTGGAATCCAACACCGGTGACACTAGAATCTCACAATAAACGCAACTACATCAAAAAGTTAAATTTTTGCTCATGATCTCGATGAACTTCTAAACAAACTCCACAGTCAACTTCGCCCAATTAGTAGCACGAGCCAATCATTTCAAATTATCTCTGAAAAACAAAATAAGTTTCAAAAAATTAAAAATTCTGCAAGAATCACTTTATACTTTCTATGTTTGTTTTATTATTTTTTAAGATAAAAAATCATAAATGAAATTTCTTAAATTTTAAAAATAGTAAGATTAAATATATACTTTATGTAGGTATTGTATTCCTATATTTAAAAAATAAGATAAATATATAGATTAGGGAAGCTCTCCTCACCCAATGACCTTTACCTGACGTAATATGTGAAAGTTATAATCCTAAGTAACCTTGAAGAAATTTAAACTGTAGGATGTTACTCGTTAAAAAGTTATAAACAAAAAAATTTAAGATATAATGTCTTATTTCTGCTATATGAAACCAAAATGTTTAGTTTTAAAATAAAGGACTCTGTACAAAACATACGGAAAATGGGTCCCGACTAATTTATTATAACTAAATTTAAAATATTTTGTAGTTCTGATCGTGTAAGGTTGTAAAAATATTATAAATATTGATGAGTACTGGCAATATTATTAATTTAATATTACATTAATATGATAAGTATTATTAGCTACATTTACACTGTGCATTTAGGCAGTGGCCTATACAATAGGTGTCCTTGTTTATCTTGTAAGTTAAACAAAAACATATAGATTACGGACTAAGAACAATAAACATAGCGACTATAAGATCACCTAACTCGCTTCGCGTGGAAAGGCGTGCGCTCCTTAATGGAGGGGAGGGGGGGGAGGTGGCGTGACTTGCTTCGCGTGGAAATCAAAACAAAAATATATCAATATACTGCAAATCAAGGTTAATGCGAAACGAGATCTATCCCTCCTCCCACCTTGCCTAGGAACGAACTTAATTTCATGATTAAAATATATTAAATTAAATACACTTATAGATGGAAAGTATATTTGTGTACATTACATAAAATTTAATATTTTTTCATGAAAATTTATGAAATTTAATGTTCATTACACGTTCATTACATTTAAATAACAACTGTAACTTATAATTTTTCAGTTAAATCATTACTTATAACTTTGTTCATAGCCACGAGCTTCATTTACATATAAAGGAAGCTCGTGGTTACATTTCTAATAGTATATATTTAAATATACACAAATTCAACATCATACAATTATATAAACCATTATATTCGTAAGATATAAACGTACTTACGTGCGATCGCTCGTACTTCTTCTTCAAAATTAATTAAATTAATGGCACTAATAAGGCACGATAAGACGACGGCTCATAAGATTCCGCTCAGTATCGTAAAGACAAATCATAAAATTGGAATGCAATGTACCGACCATGTCAAATAAGTAAATACCAGTAAATAGAACAAAAGAATAATGCAATTAAGACAAAAACGGCAAAACGTTCCTCAGACATTGGGCGCCTGCGATCTGCGACTACGTTTTCGCGCCGCACGTGCACGGACGAATGAAGGGAATATGAAACGTTTAATACAACTGCACAAATGAGGCCGGCTTCTCAAAAACATAATTGAGATGACGCACACTCGAATCTCAAAGCAAGATGAGGCACATGACCGACGCACTCGAGTGGTCTCACGAAACTTTTACGACCGATCGTACATTGCGTTCAGTCGAAACTACACGTCTGACGGGCAACACACTTGTAAAAAAAAACGCGGCACTCCGTCTCCTTCAAAATAACTCAAGCGGCCAATCAGGGCTGCGCTCTCTGGCGTGTGTTCCACCGCGCACGCGCATTGACGAGACAACGACGAAGCGGCCAATAATTTTACAATCGATTGGTGCGCAACTGCGCAACTAAAGACACTAGATTAACAAAGTAACCGCGAACTGCCGCCATTTTGGCTCCACATCGCGCGATTATTCAAAACTTCACCCTCTTTCGCTGTGGTTTTTACAATTTTCAATACAGCAATCGAACACTTCCAATAATAACAAAATCAGGTTCTTTTTCTTCTTCCAGATCCCTGTATGGATTTCCGATCTTTTAACAGAATCAGGTTAGAATAGCACTTCGACGTCATTTTGGCTCCAAATGCTATTTCAGTGAATTTTCTCATCACGGTATTTGTTCACTAATGACTTTATGCGCGATCAAAGGCTACGCCGCATGGCGGAAAGTGTCCAAACTCAGAAATCATATATTGTGGAATACATAGTTTCTGATAGATAGAAGTTCTTATTCTCTGTTCTCTGTTTCCTGTTCTTTTTTTGTGCGGAACCCCTTATAGTACTTTAAATACTGAAATTTTATGGAATTACACAAATATAAATGAAAATGCATCAAATCTCAAAATTTGTAACGAAATTTACGGATTTCCACGACGCGAATTAAAAATTGAAACTTTTTCGAATTCTGTAAACCGCATTTGTGTGCAAGTTTTTGAATGAATCGACATGGAAGAATCGATAGCGCGCGACTAGAAGCGATATTTCGCGATGCTTGCGATATATCGCTGTAATCGCGTCATCGAGACTATGTCGCTTTGCATTCGCAACGCTTTAAGCATCGTTTCATCCTTGTTGTTTAGTAAATATTAAACAAAGACAATTGATGCTTACAAGCGTTGTGAGCGACAAAGCGAACGCACCCTAGCATGAGAATATGACCTTGGCGCCGTTTCCATTCATCACATTACACACGTACATCGGCGCGCCAACAGTATTCCGTGTTCGTTTGATCCTCTCGGCTGATTTGCGCGACTAGTTCTACGACAAAACATCAACAAATGATGACAATGACGTAACCGGATGTCATCGATCTATTCTGCTTAATTTACTCGATGCCGCGACACAGTGTATTTCCGTCGCGTTCATGTATGTACACAGATCAGCGACGAGAAGAAGACCGGTAAACAGAACATACACCAGGAATCCGGCTCTGACAGGTCGACGGACAACTGGGCAGGTCGGGATCGTACGCTTCCGGAGTGCGCCAGACGGCACACACTGCTCGGGGATGACGTAACTCGACGGGAAGAGACACGCTTGAGGAACCCAAGGTTTCAAGGTTATGTCCGTCGTAGGCATCGTGAGACGGTAGCGAACGCTCGTCGTCGCCGTCGCGACGAGTTCCTGTGAAAGACGTTGTCGTCGTCGTCTCGTTATTTCATCTGCTCTCGGCCATATACATGTTTACACGTATCGTCCATACTGATTATTACGTGTTCTGATGAGATTAAGGTAAGTACGCGTCACTTCTCGGCGTGACATTGTTGCGTTATACAACGTAATTATTAGTAATTATGTTCGTGTAAAGTGAAAATAAAGAGCTTTTTGTCTAATAAGTTATGTTGTAGAACTACATTAAGGTGACCAACTGTTTTAAATTAGGAAGGACAAACTTAACTTTGTTCTACTTTATACTTTGCTAAATTTTGTCTTAAATTAAGGACATGATTATGAATTGTTTCTGTTTTAAGTATGAAAATAATAAGTATGAAATAAATTTTCAATTAACATTTTAAAAATTTTGACTTTTTTAATTTAAAAATTCAGATATATTCATAAAATACATTTAGCAGAAAAATGAAAAGAAAAATGTGATCTCTGTGTAACTCGGTACAACCACATATTACAAACTTTGCCAATTTGACAGGAGTGATTTTTTTTTTATAAGAATATAGAGGATCTTTTATTTAAATGTATTATATATAAATACATTATTTCAACATCAGATTTGGAAATAATTGACATAAATAGATTCTCTTAGTTGATTTATTTATACAGTTTTGTTTCTATGTATTATAACTTATTGTATGTTACTAGAATATTTATGATTTCATTGGTCATACATATATACCTAGTAAATTTTTTCACTTCTGTAATTTTTACCTTGTTTTAAGATATATAATCGACTCTCTGTAATTAAAGATTACTTTTTTATGGACACCTGAGATTTTTATTAGGTTTAATTTTTATTTGTGCTACATTCATATATTATAGTAGCTTCCCATTTACAAAATCCGCTAAATGGAATAATTCTTATTTGTGATGTCATAATTTGAATGCACATTCCTTTTCATTCCAACAAATATGATTCAACAGAGTTTTTACCTATAATATGCAAAAGCTTGAGACACATTGGACTTTACTGAATCTTGTTAACTCACATTAAATAAAAATGGGATTTATAAACCTATATTGTTATGCAATAAACTTTGTCACCAGAATAAACAAGTAATGACATCATTGTATGAGTATAAAATACTCACATAACTTTAGACTTAGTCATCACTTGTGTGAAAATAGAAAGCAATTTGTATCAAACTGATATAGCTGTTATTAAATGTGAAATGGAAATTACAAGTAATAATGTCCAAGAAAAAAACACGTTGCAATATAAAATTTTGACAAACTGATTTCGAGTTTTGAATCCATCAATTGATACTAGTAGGATTTTAATTTTAGAACAGTATGGAATAATCTCCAAGACTACCTATACTCATTCAATTGTGTTACTGATGTAAGAAACTCTATTTGTTGTGATATTTAACTGGCAATTAAATTATAGTTTGGCAAAAATGTGATACAATTGTATTATACATATATTTATTTGCATATATCAATATGTTATCTTTGTTCTAATGATAAGATAAATTTAAGCTGACTGAATGTACATGATGCGTCAGAGTGTAAATTCTAGTTAGAGAGATAAATTCTGGTTCGAGGAACAGATAAACTTTGTCAAAGAAAAATGGTACAATTCAATGAAACAAAATTTTAATCCTATTTTGAGATATACAATTGTGGTAACCCTTTATTGAGTGGAAGGTACTGAAGGGTACCAAACAGGAAAAAATTAAATTAAACTTGAACTTCGAAATTAGATTAAAATCTTATTTTGTAGAATTGTATTACGTTTGAAACTATGCCACCTTATCCTATAAATTTTTATCAGTTGCTTACTAGTTTTTACAAAAGTAAGTTTGTTTTGAATTATAATGTGGATTATCTGTTATAGTATGAATTAAAATATAATTTTTTAAATCATTAGCTGAAGTATTGGATTGAAACAAAAATTCGTAGTGCTACTTCTTTGTATCATGTTGACATTTAAAAAAAAATTGGCAAATATATTATTTGATATAAGAAAGTCCTCTTACATCATGATTGAATCTAATAAAAATCTCAGTTTTGTGTGTGTGTGTGTGTGTGTGTGTGTGTGTGTGTGTGTGTGTGTGTGTGTGTGTGTGTGTGTGTGCATAAAAGTATTTTTTTCTTAAGTTACAGTTTCTGTAGTAATAAGTATAACTTATTAAACATAAATGTCTGTCTTTATTTTAAAAGCCGTATGATAGTGTCGCAACACAGAGGAATTACAGAATTTGATTGAGAAAAAACGAGAAAAAAACCGGTAACAAAATGGTCTTCGAATCTATTATTGCGGAGCTCCTTAACAAGGTGATCGGCGAGTACATTGAGAATTTGGATTATACGCAGCTTAAAATCAGTCTCTGGGGAGGTAAGAATGCGTGCAATGTGATTTTATTACTCGATAACAATTATGTATTGTAAAAAAAAACTTTTGCTTTCAGGCGATCTTGTGTTAAATGATTTGTTGATAAAAGAGTCTGCGTTAGATGTGTTGGACCTTCCAGTGAGATTAGAATATGGTCGCTTAGGTACAAAAATTACATATAATAATTAAATCTTAATAATATACAAAATGACTATTAAGATTTATATGATATATAATAACATAAAAATTATTATTTTACAATAAAATCTTTTCAGGAAAATTGATATTGAAAATCCCGTTCAAAGATATGTGGAACGGTCAGATTGATGCGATAGTCGAGGAACTGTTTATATTGGTAGTGCCTACAAGTCAAGTTTCATACAATGAAGATAAAGAGACGAAAGCGCAGTTGGAAGCGAAACGAGCGGAACTCGCGAGAGTAGAAAAAAGGAAGCAATTAGCAGAGATAAAATGTAATTAGATACTTATATTTTTTAAATAAATTAATAAAAAGAAGTCTGGAATTTTATGATCGTATGATAATAAAATTATAAAAATAAAATTTTTATAATTATTTATTCAATTTAACATTGCTGTTCTTAATCTATTTTAAATATTTGTAATTTTTATAAAAATTATCTGAGATTATAGAAATGTGTGTGTGTGTGGTATGTGTGTGTGTGTGTGTGTGTGTGTGGTGTGTGTGTGTGTGTGCGTGTGCGTGTAGAGATGTCTCCAATATTTAATTTTAATTTTTCTTTTTTTTAACCAAGATTTAAAAATTTTTTAACTCGTATAGCGCATGAAAAACTGGACGACTCGATGGTCGAGAAATTAGTCGCTCGCATGATCAAGAACATTCATGTGGAGATCAAGAGAATTCACGTGCGGTACGAAGACCATGTTACCTTTAAAGATCATCCATTTTCTTTTGGCTTTACGCTAAATACCTTCGTTCTCGAGAGTTGTACAGACTCCTGGGAGATCACTGGCAATTTGAAGGACATGTATGTCATTCCACAAATCTTCAAATTGTGCAATCTGGATGGATTGGCTGCCTATCTCAATACAAGCATGGAACAATACAGCAAGAACTCGCAGTCCTTGTATACCAATCTCTTTTGTAGCGGTATTGCAACCATGGACTATACTCCAACAGGTTACCAATATCTGTTAGGACCGATCAATGTCAAATCTAAACTCAGGCTTAATCCCAAGCCCGAGTCTGACGATAGTAATTATACTATCCCAAAGGTAACTTACACTTATTAATCTGGCAAGGAAAGATTCCACTATAACAGTTTGTTAAAATAAGTGAATTTTTTTTTAAACTATTGATATCTCTGGGTAAACTTTTTTAAGGATAAAAGGCATTCTTATTATATGAAAAATTTGTATATAATAGAATAGAAAAAAAACAGCCTTTTTTATGTCAATCATTTTCCACTTCAAAATAAATTCTTTTTTAATTAGATAGTTTATATTGGTACTATTTCTATTTCTAAAAAAATATTATAAGAGTTATTCAGTTAGTTTTCTAAGTTATTCTGAACGCTGGACGTAGTTAACATTGTTATTTTTTTGTATTCAAAGAATATCTCTTTATATTCTAAAAAAGTTTATTCATCATCGGGAAATCAATCTGGTTAATAATATAATATAATATAAAATAATATAATTCATTTGACACCCGCAATATTATCGTGTCTCCTGATAATTTTCTTAAAAAAAAATGATTAAAAATATTTATTTTTAGAACTGTTACAGTTTTCAGATTTTCAAACTAGATTGAATCATTTCATATTTTGCTTCTCTTTTCGCAGGTATGGTTAGATCTAGAGATGCAAAAATTACGGATTGGTTTAACGAAGCATCAGTATCAGACCTTGGTGCGGTTGGGAGAGGGTTTGGATCAGGCACGGAAAGCCGCACCATATCGAAAATATCGACCGAATTTGACATCGTATCGCGGTTACTACAAGGAGTGGTGGCGTTTCGCGTATACCTGCGTCCTCGAGGAAACCGTGCGACGGTGTCATCGCAACTGGAACTGGGATCACATGAAGCTTCACCGCGATACTTGCCGCGCCTATGCCAAGACCTATCAGACTAAACTGACAACGAAGAAGCTAGTAAAAGAGATCGAGGAACGATTGACAGACTATGAAAAGAAACTGGACATCTTCAACTTAGTGATTATCCGACAGCAGATCGAGATGGAAGTTGAGAGACTGGCAAAGCGGGAGAAAACTCTGAAGGCGAAGCAAGGTTGGTTCGGTTTCCTGTGGACCAGTTCGCACGTCGAGCAGACGAAGGAGCTCAACTCTGCTGCGGCCATCATGCGCAGGTTTATTGCTGAACATTTTAATAAATCAAGTTTTCAGAAAATTTTGGCATACATTTAGAGGTTTTTATATACTTCAATTATCCTGTAAAATTTGTCTTTAACGAATTGTGATCGACGTAATTAAATTCGAAGTAATTTTATCTAGCTCGTATTAACAATAATAAAATAAGATAATAGACAAAAGGATGTTTCTTTAAATAATAATCAATTTCTTTAAATAATAATAACTATATTCGTGTTACTAAATATATTTTGCAATCGTTTATATTGGCTTTATTTTCGTCTTAGCTTATTATTTTTAACGAACATAACGTTTAGCATATTAATAATGATAATATTTAGGTTCGAGGAGGCGATGACGCCACAGGAGAAGGAGAAACTCTATCGGGCGATTGACTATCAGGAGAACTCCGCGCCCGCGTATTATCCAGAAACATACGAGATGATCGACACACGTTTCCTTTTACATGGTCTGCAAATTTCTCTATTGGACACGGACAAGGAGCATCCGTGTGTCTTGGACCTGCAGCTACATGGCGTACGAGCTGGCTTCAAGTCACGACCATCCGCGAACGCGATCCTTGTCACTGCCTCTATTAGTGACATGAAATTACTGGGTGCAACACAAAATGATCGAATGCCCTCGCTCTTTATCCCAGAACATAGTAGCTCTGACTGCGCTTTGGTGTCAGTCTCGTACGAGAAGAATCCGCTCGACAAGCTGTGCGGTGACCGTGTAATCGTCAAATCCCGATCCGTCGATATCATCTATGACGCGCAAACTATTAAAGAGCTAGTCGACATGTTTAAGGTATTCTTTTTAATCTTCGAATGCACAATGCATTCGTAGAAAATGGAAAAATTTCTTGAACACTAATTAAAAAATTTTTTTTTTAATTTTATCTTATGATTTTTTTTCTTATTTTCTGCAAACTGTTCATTTAATATAGATGAATATTTTTCAGGTACAAGACTCTTCCACGCTGAGTCAACTGCAAACAGCCGCGGCAGAACAGTTGGAAGGCCTAAAGGAAATGTCAGCACTCGGATTGGAGTATGCTATAGAAAAACATTCAGTATTGGATATACAAGTGGATATGCAGGCATCGCAACTTATCATACCGCATGGTGGTCTCTATGAAGACTCGAAAGCATTGATCGTTGTGAACCTAGGTAGTCTAAAGATGCATTCTTTGGAGAAGGGCAAGAGTGACTTGGTTGGCGTTAGCGTTAGACAATTGGTTAGCATGGGCAAGAGCGAGGAGGAAGTATTGTTGCATCTAAGAGAGCACAGCTACGAAAAATTTGTTTTGAAGATAGTTAACTTTCAGGTAATAATAGTTCTAATTTACAATTAGTTGTGATAAACAATAAGTGACATCCAGAGTGATAAGAATAAATGAATAATAATTAATAGATAAAACTTCTGTGAAATAATTTCTAATCCAAAATAATTATATTATTTTATATATAATATTATTTTTTATAATAAATAGTTATTTTCTTAAAATTTATTGCATTAGGTATTGGTCTCGTTACCGAATGAAGAATGGCGATCAGCCTTGACAAATACCGAGAGTTCTCTGACGTTACTCCATCCAACTACATTGGAAATTCAGTTCCACAAGTGCCTAGTGACGGACGATCCTTTGTTACCGAAGTTACGGCTCCTCGGTCACCTACCTTCAGTTACAGTGAACATAACGGATGTTCGACTGCTTCAGGCGCTCTCAATCGCGCAGAGCATTTCTTTACCTGAGGAGGAAAATCCCGGAGAGTTGCACCATATCTCTCTCTCCAAGTCCATCTCGCAGTTATCACTGAAGGAACTGGGCACTACAATATCTAATATCGCTGATAAAAGAAAGCAGCAGCAAGCAACAGCCAATGCACCAATGAAGCAGACTACTGACTTGGAGATGAAATTCGAGATGAAGGAGTTTACGCTGTCACTTTCTAGACAACGAGATGATGTCACGATGCCCTCGGAATTTATCAGGTTTGAAACGAATGCTTCGTGTTTTTATTTTAATTACCTTATAATGAAATTTTTTATAGACACCTGATGAAAATTTTTCTGAGAATTGCTTATATAATTTGTCATAATTTTTATATAAATTTTAGAACTTTTTAGAATTTCTAAATAATTTTATAATTTTTTTCTGAGAAAATTCTCAGATTTTTTTATATAAATTGAAATAGTTTTCAAAATGAATTTACATCTTTTTAAAATTTTTTCACCTAAGTAAATTCTGAAAAATTTTGACATTTCTTAGAGATTCCTCATTCTCTAATTTTTGATGAAGTCTTACAAAATCTGAAAAGATTAAGTTTAAGATATATTTTAGAAATCGTTTAGAATGAAAAATTTTAGAATATATCAGAATTATTATGTATATAAAAAATTATCACATATATAAAAAATTTTAAGAAAAACTGTAGGCTGACTTTCTTGTAGATAACTTTCTTCTTATTTCTAAAAAGTGTTCTAAATGTATGAAAATTTTATATATAGATAAATAATTTAAAATGCATGATGTAAGTGGTTCAAATAATAAATTAATAAAATATATCAAGAAGGGCTACAAACTAAGTGAAAGCACTAAAATGTAAGTGTTAAGCAAAATATATATTAGTAAACAAATTAAAAAAAAAATAAATAGAAATGAATATATTATATAACAAACGGCATTTTGACTCCGATCGGATCATTATCAGTGTTAGACGTGTAAAAACTTTCAATAAATTAATAGTATAAACATATTTGAAATAGCAACGGCCTATAACTAAAAATTACAAACTACGAAAACTGTTTTAATTGTACTGACTTCAGCCGGATGTACAAAAAGGTAGTAAAATTACCTATTATAGTTATCGCAACAGTATTAAAAATATTGCTATTGTATCCAATAGAGATCATCTTTGTAATTGTACTTTGCAAAATGGTACAGAGAAACGTATAAATAAAGTATAAAATAAGGAACGTTTGTTAATAAAAGACTCATAAAAAAATCATTAGTATAAACACTTTCAAAATATTTTCAATACTAAGTATTAATAACATCAGTCAGAATATTATCGGTTATATAAAAATTTGAGATTCAAAAAGCAATTAATCTATTAAAATAATATAAAATATGAAAAAATAATTCGTTGAGCTCATATAAAAAAGGAAAAAATCTTAAAATAAACATCTTAAAATTAGTTCCAATATTACAATAAATAAAATGGTATCAGTCAGAATGTAAAAATATTGTGGTAGAACAAAAGGTTTAAAACTCAAAATACAAACAGTGTGTCGATATATGTACAGCAATAAGATAAATAAGCAATTTGCGATGGAGCCTTGACATCCAAACCTGTAATGAGAAAAACTGATAAGAAGTAAGAGGCACAAAGAAGGAGATACGAAATAAAGGAGAAAGGGTAATAAGAGGAAAGAAAAAGAACAGGAAACTAAGAAGGAGAAAGAGACTGAATAATAGGAAGATAAGATTTAATAGAGATTCAGTATCGTTTTGCTTATTTAAACTCTGTTTTTGGTTCTTTATATGAACCATTTCCGATATCAAGCGTTTATTATAGGAAGATTCTTTATCAAGATTTCTCACTTTATCCCAATCAAATTCATTGTTACAATCCACTCGATGGTTTGTAATGACTAATGGCGATCCCGTTTTTTTCCTTATATCAGACATATATTCTTGTAATCTGGTTTTTAGCTTCCTCTTGGTTTGCCCAACGTAGCTAGCATTACAATCTCCACAAAATATTTTGTAGACAACTTTCTGGTCTAGAGAAAAAGTCGAGCTGATCTTTGCTTCTTTTTATGTCGTTTTTTTAAGGTATTCGGAATGGAATAAGCGAAATTATAGTTCATTTTCCAAACAACTGGCTTAAAACTTTCAGAAATAAACTTGACATAAGGGATAGTAAAAAACTGTTTAGTACGAATATTCTTGTTAAGAACGTGAGAATTTTTGTGTACTGTTGTTCCTATAAATTTGGTAATTCAATCTATTATTGATAGTGGAGAAGATGAAATGAAGTGGATAACAATTTTGTAAAAATATATTGATAATATCAATAAGATTTTTTTCCTAGAAAACAGGATGAGACAACAATATAACTCTGTCTACCGCACCTATGACAATACCTCTTTTATGATATAATGGATGATGAGAGTGGAAGTTAAGAAATCTTCCGAGCAAGTCGGTTTTTTATATCTACCAAAAATAATTGAGTTAATGTCAACAATAATGGTGGTATCTAAAAAATTAAATCTATCATTGATCCCAATTTCCGTGGTGAATTGTAAAGCTGCTTTCTAAAGCAGAAGACTCAAGATCTTGTAATACTATTTCAGCTATTACAGGGGACAATGGAGACCCCATTTGAGATACCAAAAATTTGTTTATAGAATACATTATTAAAAGAAAAAACAGTTAAATTCAAGATAAAGCGTATGGCTATAAAAAATTTGTCTAAAGATGTAATAGTATTCATAGATATATGACTCCATCTCCTCACGATGCTCTCAGATACCAATTCTATGCGAACATTTGTAAATAGCGAAATCATATCTAAAAATGCCAAAGTATTGCCAGGATCAAAAAACATTCCGTTTAGCTTGTCCACCAAATGAAAGCTGTTTTTCACCTGACCACGTCTTTTAGGAATACTATTATGGATAATATTATGTAGAAATAGGGAAAATAGTAAAGTGGACTGTTTATCGAAGAAACAATAACCCTTAACGGACCAGACTTATGTATTTTAGACCATAGGAGAATTGCCATCTGTAATCAATAATCTTTGATATACTGAGTCTTCTATGTAGCCCTTGTTTTTCCATCTCACCAATATATTATGTCGTTGGAATCAATTTCTTATCTATTCTATTCTTCTCTATTCTAAAGTATGTGTATGTCAGTGTCTGAAAATATTTCTTCCATTTTTTGAACATAATCGGTTCTATCCAAAACTACGGTTACATTTCTCTTATCAGCACGTGTGACTAGCAAATTATTATCTTTAATGAATTTATTAATAGATTCTAATCATGATGATACCTGCTTATCTATCGAATTATAAGAAGGAAACTGTTAAGAAAATTTATTAAGAATTGAAACTGAATTGTTTCTGGTGAAATTAACAATATTCTTAGGACGATCATAAATGTTATTTTCTACGTTTTTTATGAACTTCAAGTTCTTTCTATGTTATATTTACTAATAGGTAGATCGAAGCTTATAATTTTTAGTTATAGCCGTTGCTGTTTCAAATATGTTTATACTATTAATTTATTGAAAGTTTTTACATGTCTAACATTGATAATGACCCGATCGAAGTCGAAACGCCGTTTGTTATATATTCATTTCTATGTTTGTTATATATTTATTTTTGTTTTAATTTGTTTTAGCGCTTACTAACATATTTTGGTTAGCACTTACATTTTTGTGTTTTCACTTGGTTTGTAGCTCTTTTTAATATATATTTACTTAATAAATAATTTAATTTGTATGAAAATTCTGAGAAATTTTTAGCAAGAACTTTAACGAGTTTCTGAATTTACTCGTTCTCTTCAGATTCCAAGTGCTGCAGCTAGAGGCAGAAATGTTACAACGTACGTACGATCAAGAGGTGCAGTTGAGACTGGGTGGCGTGCAGATGCGGCAACTGTACGAGAATCAAGAAATCTTCATGGTCAATACGCCGATGTCGGCCGGCGGAGATGAGTATTTGATCATCGTGCGATATGTAAATGTAAACAAGCGCTCGCCAGAGTTTATTACGCGTCACGGTTCTGTCGTGAAACTGCTTCGACTGGAATTTACCTCACTGGACACATTGTTACATCAAGAAGCTCTTATCGAGCTGCTGCGATTTAGCACGTATATTCAGGACCAAATGAATTCGCTCGAAAATATTCAGAAGAAGGAAACCGAACGTTTTCGACCGACCCGTTTAACTTCTATTCAGGAAGAAACTTCTGGTTTTCTCAAAGAACAGTTACAGAAACAAAGATTGAGACCCACCGGACGACGTAAAAAACGAACCGTTGAGTGCATCGATCTAAAAGTAAACGCCAAGATTGGCTCGATCAATCTGAAGATTTCTAGCGCCACCCGAGACATTACCGCGTTCTATATTAAAGGCATCAGCGCCAGTTTTCTCAGCAAGTCTTCGTATTTGCAAGTGAATGCTGATCTGACCTCTATCAGTATTAAAGATCTGAATCCTGTTTCTATGTACAAGGATATAGTGACTGTGGAGGGTACTGAGTCTCTGCAGGTAGGTGCTTTTATATTTATTTTACATTTTCAGTTATTTCTTTAATCGGCATTCGCAGCTCCAGTGGGCTTAGATATTTTTTTCAGAATTACGTTGCGAAAAATTGTTTGTAACAAATGCTTTTCACAATGTCAATTTTAAATTACATAATTTTATTTTGTAATTGGATTTTGGAAATGAAAAATGAAAAAAATCGATCAATTATATTAAACAAAAATACATTAATTTAAAGTAAATTATAAGTAATTATCCGCAAAATTAGAAAATTTGAGAGCGAACATAAATTAAGATTAAAAGTAATTGTCGTCTTTTATTTTCATATCAGATCCAAGTGGTAATGTATAACATCGAGAAATGGGAAAAGGACAAGAACAACATGTCTGTTAAAGTGTTGATGGGTTGTCATCGTATCGTCTTTTTGAATGCATTCGTCACCAGAGTTATGAATTTCCTAAACAACTTTCAAATGGCGCAGAAAGCTATCAAAGACGCATCGACGGCGGCAGCAGAAGCCGCGAAGACCAACATCAAGGATGTTCAACAAAGTGCCTCACGCATCGAGCTAAATGTTAGGATTAATGCACCCGTTGTATACGTGCCGATGAGTTCCAAGAACGAGCATAGCTTAATGCTAGACATGGGCAATCTTATGGTACAGAATAAGTTTATTTTGAATTGATTTTGAATAGATCAATTTAGCTCCAATTGAAGAATTTAGAAATTTCGTAGAATTAAATATACACACACACACACACATACACACACGCACGCGCGCGCGCGCGCGCGCGCGTGTATTACAAATGTATCATATCAATTTTATATGGAATCAATTTCGATAAATGACAATTACATTAGACTGATTCATAATGTTATTTTTACAAGACATAAGTTATAATTATTGTGTGAACATAATAATTTTTTAACTAATGTTTCATGTTTTAGAGTAAAAGATTATCATTTTTTAATATTTGAGAAATGAAAAATATAAATTTAATTTAAATATTATATGATTTATATAAAATTTATATATAACTAAATATAACTTATATAAAAAAAATAATAAATACGCTCCTATAAAATTCTATGCGAACAGGTACATAACGTCTTCAAAAAATTGGATATAATGAACGAGGAAATCGATGAGTATCCTGTGGTCGATGAAATGAAAATCGAGCTGCAGAACTTGAAATTATCTCGAGTTCGACTGAACACAAAACAATTCACCAGCGAGAACGAGGTGCTGCTGCTGGAACCAGTAACGTTTACGCTACTAATGAAACGAAATCTTTCTACCGCCTGGTTTACTTCTATTCCGGACATCGATATGTTTGGCAGATTGAACAAGATCAATCTACTGTTGAGTAAAGAGGATTACATTACGGTTCTGAAAGTGCTGGAGCAGAATCCCCCCCGCCATGAAATCCGAATACAATGGAGAACTTGAGGTGAATAATCGTTGTGATAATATACAATAATTATAAAATAATTACACTGTGACAAAGTTTCTATTTCTCGACACCTGAATGATGATTTTCATATATTATTTTTAATAAAAGATTTTATATCATTATATTAATTATTTTTTTGTATATTACAAAAATTAGTTGAATTTTTTATAATTATTGCATTATATAAAAAATTTAAAATAATGTTTCTAAAAATTGAAGGGTGGTAGAATTTTTTCAAAAGCATATTCTTTAGTGTAAAAAAATCTTGCGAGAAATATCCCTTGTTGAAAAACCGAAAAGTTGAAAATTTGTTGCACTGTGTTATTGACTAATATATATATTTGACATTTGCTGTATTAAGATTCAACCGGTCTACAAGTACGAGATCGACGCATCGCAAGAAATATTGATTGAGACACAGGAACGACACGCTCACACATCCGTGAAGTTTGAGTTCATTATGGATAGTCTGGTGATCAATCTTTTCACCGGCGGTTCTAAGCTATTGCAGTCGCAGACGTCACCAATGCACTTGCCCGAGCATGGATTGGCCCGTTTCAGTCTCACACACTTTGCCCTGAAAGGCCGTGTGTTCGCAGACGGTTTACTGGCTACGTCGATTCTTCTAATGAACTGCACGCTAGATGACATGCGGCAGAATAGAGAGGGCTCGCTGGTGCGAATCATGGAAAGGACCAGCAACGTACCGTTGTCAGGGCCAAGCGAGGATCATCTCAATAAAGAACATGCCAGGAGTATGTTGGACGTGACAGTGCGCCAAAGCCTCAACGACACGTTCGCCGACGTGCGAGTGTTCTCTTTCAGCATCATCGTCTCCCTCGATTATCTCATGAAAATCAAGGACTTCTTCGATGTGGATGAACTGAACAAGACAGTTAGTACTTCCTCTTCAAAAAATGAATTAGTGGCACCAAAGAAAAAGCCGGCACAGCAGCAGTTGACCACCTCGACACTCAAAATGTTAACTGTGAATCTGCACGTGGAAAAGCCAGATATTATCTTACTCGAAGACATGGACGATATCAATTCGAATTGCATAGTACTGAATACAGAATTGTTGCTGAAGGTGCGTATTATGGGAGAGCACCAGGTGATCTCGGGTTCCATTAAAGATTTCTCACTACTGGCGGGGATATATAATCCTGCAAAGAGGGCTGACTGGATCTATCAGGTATAGCACACATATACATAATATTCTATATAATACATATTTATGTATAAAAAAGTTTAACGGTAATTTAGAAGATAAAAAAATTAAAGATAAAAAATTATTTTAACAAGAAGTAGACATGTTTGGAAAAAATAATTCAGATAAAATAAAAAATTTTTATTTAAACTATAAGATTGTGTTGTTTAATATTAAAGTGTTTTATATGTATACAACATTCAATTTTCTTCAGAAAATATAAATTTCCAATTCCAGTCACTTTTTACAGAGACACTTGTTATACTTTAATGATTAATTGAAATATATTAATTTAAATAGTTAAATCGTCAAATAAATTTACAGAATTATTTAATCTTATATTTTTGATATTTATAAATAGATTCTTTTTAAAATTATTGTTAAATCAAAGCCATCTTAAAGTAACTTATCCTAACATCTATTTTATGTTAATTGTTATTATTGTTAATTATTATCATAGGTTTTGAGGCCATGCAGCATTAGTGTAGCCGGTTCCACGCCAGAGGGAAAAGGGCTCCATTTAGAAGTCCGTTGCACGGATATACACATGTCTGTTTCGCCAGGTAATTTACGAATTTCATGCTGATAGTTAATACCTAATAAAATAAAATGTAACAATGTTCAGGTGTGATCGAAATATTGAGTAAAGCCATTCTCACGGTGACAAGGAAGGAAGAAGAGGATAAGGAAGTCATTAAATCTGAGCCTAATTATGAGGGATTGTGGATCGTTACACCTTTCGAAGAGAATGATTATTGGTTTTTAAAGACAGGTTAATAATAAGTTGATAATGATAATTCGATAATTATTCGTTGTACAAAAAAAATCTTATTTTTTATTTGTTAAACTGTCGGATCAATTTATTTTAGAAGTTGCGATGGAAGCACTCGAAGAGTTTACGTATCCAGATGATGAGATTGCAGCACCTTATAAGCCCGAATTGGCCATTGTCTCGGCGCCGACGATTTTGTTCACTCTGGAGGCGGGTGTCGGCAACAAAACTTTGCCAATGTTACTCCTTCATGTGGGTTTCCAAAGCAACATTAACGATTGGAGTACAAAATCTGTAAGTTATTTATGAATCGTTTTTGTATTATTTTTTTTTATTTATATTGAGGAATCAATTTTGATGAATTATTTTTTATGTCTGAACAAGTAATGCAATCATTACTTGTTCAGAAATAAAAAATAATACTATTTCTTATAAGACTTTTTATACTCAAAAAGAATATTTTTTGAAAAATTTCATACCCTTCAATTTTTAGAATCTCTGCTTGTTTTATTGTTTAATATTCTAACATCATTTTTTACGTCTTTTCTCCATTCGTTATTTTTCTCAGAATTTTTGGATGATAGAACTTTTTTAACCTTATATGCTTTTCTAACAATTAAAAATATATAAGAATCACTATTCAGGTGTAGAGAAATCTTGTTCCTTAATTATTTATCTGATTCCTTATCATTATTGTCACTATTATTATTATTATTATTCTCCCCTTATGAGTATTACGGTTTACGTAACTTGTGCTCGCAGATGAGCATGGACTGCACGATGTCGGTGATCATGTCGTATTATAACAGTCGTCTTGCGTTGTGGGAACCATTGATCGAGCCAACAGAAAACTCCACTAATGGTAAACGTGTCTCAACGCCGTGGGAATTGAAAACGAAGGTAACTTTAGCATTCTTCCTATTATCTTTAATAAATATTTAGTTGATTGATATTAATTCGTTTGTTTTAGGTTCAATTTAATGACATAATGCTAGATTCTAGAGGCGCTAGCGCGGTCAGCCCTAGCTCGGAGAGTGAAATCGAAGAATTACACCAATCTACCAAGATGTCTATCGACATTACGTCTTTTGTAAGCAAAGTTTATCGGGATATAAATATTAAATAAATAAATAAATATATATATATATATATATTAAATATCAAATAAATATATATTGATTATATATGTGGATTATAGATATTTTTTGTTTTGTCTTAAATGATACAAAATTTTCTGTGAATTTTAATGAGATTTATCGCAGCTAGCGCAATATTACTGCGAAATTATATGCCAAAAGAATGTAGGATCTCTCTTTTGTTTGAAATAGGATAATCTGGAGATAACTGTCACAAAGACATGTTTAGACGTACTGAAACAATTGGGCCAATCGTTTTCCTCGGCTATGGAAGCCAACGGGAAAGGACCCACCAAAAAAGTGGCACCGTATGTGCTGAAAAATGAGACTGGCCTAGCGATAATACTCGATCTAGAGCACAGTTTCTTCAAGGTCATTATAATAAAGAATCTTACTTTTTTTATTCACTTGTCTACTCAATGTAATTTTATGAATTAACATTTAATGATAAAATGATAATTTTATTAATATGAAAACCGAATATAAAAATATGCCTTTACAGATTTTTGATGATGGCTCGAGAATAAAAGACCATAGCGATTCGTATATGGAAGTAATCCTCGAAACTGGTGCATCGATACAGCTTGCACCTAAGACGTCCAAGCTGCTTGACATGCGTCTGATTGAGCAGTTGAAAGTGGAGACCGTGAAAGACAGAGAAGACAGTAAATTCTCCATATCTGTAAGTCATTATATTATCAAAATGTAAAACTATAGATTCATGATTCTTTGATATATCTGGAGTCAATCTATTGATGAAAATGTCGAAAATAGTCGATGACAAGCGGTTGAAAGTGACTTTCAGATTACAAATAATAAAAAAACATTAAATAGATTAACAATCTGTTTTTAATATATCATGTATGATATATTATTGATGAATTTTAAATTAATAAAATAAATATTAGACTATTTTATCATTATTAATATAATTAACATAGTGCGATAATTTAATAGTTTAAAGGCATTCAAAGCAAATTGGCGATACCTGTGTTGAGAGCAGATAAGAGATTCTTCTCTTTAAAGCATCGGAAGGATGGTTCCGAAGAATGGGGTATTGTGTCAGATATTATTGTGGAAGAAGGTAGCACGATCGTCACTCTGAGAAGCATTCTTCAGGTAAATAGAGGAGAACGAATCATATTTTATCAGTAATAATTAGCTCCTTTTATGTTATAGGTCCACAATCACTTCGCGCAGCCGATATCTGTTTATTATATGACAAAGCGTGGAAACGAAGTGGAGTGCGTGGGCACAGTAGCACCGGATGAGAAACTTAATTTACCTCTGGATGCCGTGTACACCCCGACCAACATTTATTGGCTGTTTTTCAGCGTCAATGGGTAAGTTCGCATTGTTTTATGTTAACAATATTATTTTCTTGATTATTGTTTAACATCATTTAATGTAACTATGAAAATAAAATAACAAAAAATAAAATAATAAAAAATTTTTAAACATATATGTATAATATATATATTGTAAATGTAGGTGACTTCGGATAATAGGTCCGAAATGTAAGTGGATTCCATGATTGAATTTAACAAAAGTGCATGCTGTCCCAAATCACCTGCATTTGCAGTATTCTTTCTTAAAAGTATAATATATAATACATTACAATTATAGATATATAACATATATTTTTATAAAATATAGATGACGAAAAACTTTGACATATAACATTTTTAATGGTCATATTTAATGTACTTTAGATATATGGTGTCAGTCGAACCATTTGTCTGGAAGGATCTGCAGAAAACTGTTTCCATGACGAAATTATTGAAATGCGAATCGCGATCTAAGCAAGATTCTACAGAACCATTTTATATACAGGTGTCTTTCTTGCATATGTATTTCTTGCTTTACGCAGTTTCATTCGCTTAATAAAGTTAACAAATTCTTAGTAATAAATAATAGAGGAATACAGAATATTCGTTTATGCAGGCTGTGGGAGAGATCGAGCAGGTGTATTTTGAGAATACCACTCGTCATACCATGGCTAGTACCGTTTACAATGTACATCTATACCCGTCTGTGTATCTGAAAAACTTCCTACCGATCGACATCATCATCTGTTTGCCTGGCACAGTTCAGGAAAACTTGCTCGAAGCAAGTGCCTCTATACAACTTCCTACGATTGATCTAACCAAGTCAAGCATAATAATTAAGGTAGAACATCAATTAATAAAAATTTAATAATTAAATATTATTAATAATTATAATTATTAATTATTACCTTTTATAAAACATAACATTTGCCATTTATTTATTTAAATCGATTGATGGTGTTATAGTTACCCAATTATCTGGAGAAGGATTGGTCATGCAGAGGTGAAATCATGGCGGATCCACCAGAGTTCGCGGTTTGGTCGTTTGAGTCTTTCGATAGCGCGCAAAAAGTGATTCTGGATCTTGGAATGCACACGTCTTACAAACATGGTTCGATTATCATGGCGCTGTATTGTCCCTTCTGGATGCTGAACAAGACTGGTTTAATGCTGTCCTATAGAGTATGTGTTTGCAACGATAGTTTCGTCGCTTTTGGTAACTTTGCCTCTGTGTACAGTTTGCAATTGATTATTATCTCTACATTTGTCAAAGAATCTCGAAAGTTCTCTAAGATTTTCAAGTCTCAACCACATTTTACAGAGAGCCCCTTTTTGCATCAGCCATATATTGTAGAATTCTTTATTGATACGCATTCTTCTTATATCAAATAATACTCTTGTATTAACGTCTGCTTCCTCGCTCGATCTTCAGCCTTTCTTGTGTCCTTATTAGTGTATCGCAAGACTAACCAGCATTGCATCTTGCCTGATTAGTTTTGTATTCAACATGCTCCATTATTTTACAGAAATCAAGTAAGGTTGGCAAAGAGCACTCGAGTCCGATAAAGGTAGAGATTTCCTGTTATCGTGCTGCATTATTGTGCTTCTCATAAATAGCCATCTTGTATATTATTAGCAAAATTATTATTATATTATTAGAAAAAGCTTTCAGAATTTTTTAATTCTATACTATTATTCTACACTATTATTGCATGGAAAGAATGATTTTGCTGAAGTATTTAAATATTTAGCTAGATGTAGATCTAAAAATAATTTTGTTAAACTATGTCAAAATAATCATGTAAGACGCTCAAACAGATTGCTAGAATATCGAAATTTTTTGCAGCATTACTCACGCTTAAGTTTTCTGTACAATTATTTTGATGATCCAACAGTTATTTTCCAATTTGTATCTATCTAATTTATTTAAAATTTTTTAATACTTTAAGAAAATTGTTCTTTTTGACTTGTTAATAATTATAATGACTTCTAGAACAATTATCATATACCACTTAATTGTCAAATCAAATTTTTTTGTTGAATAGACGTCGATATTCATCGCTTTATTCGTGAAAATGTATGTGCAAACATCTTTCAGAAATTCGTTTCTGCTATGAAACCCCATCGGCAACGCGCACAGTACAGGAAGAGGAAAAATCGCGCGGTGACACATCGCTTTATTTCAATATTATCGCTGTTTCTCGTGTTCGCTTGTGTCCGCAAGACTTAATCATTGTCAAATAACAATCGTCTAATGCCACCGGAACTGAAACTGTGTTAGATTGTTAGTCGATCAATGTGTCGATTTTTACAATTGCATTTTATCAAATATACATAAATTAATAGTAATTAGAGCTAACATCATTATGCATAACTGTGCTTTATTGCACACGCTACTTATTTTCTGTTTCCTTTACTTAACCCTCTCTATTCTTAATTAATTTATTTTCTATTTCTTTTAATAGCTATATTTTTAAATATGCCAATCTTTCAGTCCTCGATTATTTTCTCATTTTTAGATACTAGACGTAAAACATTCTGATTGCAATGCAAAATCGACAAAGTTTGTATAACAAGCTAATATTATGGAGGTGTTAGTTACTTGTTCTTAACTGCATGATGTTTCGAAGGTATTTTTGAACGTCGAGATTAATTTATATCGATTGCTATTTCCAGACAACAGATGATTTCTTGAATATCTTGTATCATCCAGAGCATTTCAAGGGACCTATTCTATTCTCGTTCCGCTCCAAAGCTTTCTTTGGCAAGAAGAAAGCCATGATCAGAGTGGAAGACGGAGAGTGGTCCGACAAATTCTCCATCGATGTCGCGGGTAGCGAGGGTGTGGTGGCCTGTAAATACAATGGAATGATATATCAGGTTCTTATGTCGTTAATTTTTATTCTTTTTTTTTTGTTTACATTAAAACGCATCTTAACTAATTAATAATAATATAATGTATTTAAGATAAAAAAATAGAGAGTAAGATAAGAAATAAATATAAATAATAAAGCTCTAGTTTTTCTTACAGATCGGAGTACACAATCAGCTGACATACAACTCGTTGACCAAGCAGATCACGTTTACTCCGTACTACATACTTATCAATAATGCAGATTTCCTTATAGAATGCCAGGAGGGTGACCGACCAGCTGATCCGATGATCAAAGTATGTTAGATATAAGAAATTATATTACTATAGAAATCTTTTAGTGAAATATTGCACTACAATATCATTGCTATATGCCAAGGTGCCTCCTAATGAATGCGCGGCTCTGTGGCCTCGAACCGAACATGATAACAAAACTCTGAAAGCTAAAGTCGCAAGTCAACCTGAGAAAACCGCGGCGTTTATTTATACCGACAGTCACACAACTCTGCTGAAATTGGACAATAAGGTAATGAAGCATAGTAACAAAGGGTAATAATTAAATATATTACACATAATTTATTTATGTACTGCGAAGCACAATTAATTAGAATAAATAATGAAATATTTGTGTTTTATACCTCTAACAAAAATTTTTCACCATAGTACGGAGGAATCAATGTAGACGTCCAAATCAACGAGGGCGGCGTTTACATCTCCATGTCAGCTTACGTCCCAGGCAACGCGCCAGCTATGATTATCAACCATACGCCGCATACTATTAATCTATGGGAAAAAGGTTCTCTCAACGTCAGGTAAATTGGGAATACGCCGGCGAGATCAATAATTCTGGATAAGTCAGCTGTTTTTTTTTCTTAAACAATCACCTGAGGATTTTTGTACTAATTAATTAAAATTATTATTATTATTAACAATATTAATCTCGAGTTAAGCAGAAAGGCTTGCGGGGAATCACCCTGTATATTTATTCGACATAAACTGATTGCACGTTTGTACGTTGACAGATCCGTGCAGTCATACAATAGAATGTTTTATACCTGGGAAAATCCGGCAGGATCACGAAAACTGATGTGGGAAGATAACAATGACAAGGAAATCGAGGATAATCTTCGCAAAGTAAACGGAATAGATGATCAAAAGCAAGGGAAATGTTCATAAAAACGAATAATGAACACCATCCTCATTTCTTTTCCAGGATAATCTTGGCACCTTCCAACTATCGGAAATAGACGAGAAACTGTTTTATGTTTCGTTCCTAGACGGTACTCAGAGAGTACTGCTGTTTACTGCAAATTTGAAGATTGCTGAAGATTGTCAACTGGCTGGTGATCTAGAAATAATTGATCAAGAAATCACGTTGAACATTCACGGCATTGGATTTTCTCTCGTGAATAACATCACCAAGTCCGAATTGTTGTACATGTGCATCGCCAGGTAAGACTGCAGTATGCAATATTAAATTTAATTTTATTAAAAAACGCTACGAATTAATTCCAACACCTAATAAAATTAATTTTATTTACATATAACTTAATAATTTTTTAAAATTAAAATTAAATTTTTAATATAATTTTGCTTTTATAATTTTATACATAATTATAATTTTTACAATAATTGACAAATATAAATTTAATATTATTTAACGAAATGATAATTATTATATATACTCTCTTCGTATAATTGTGTTACCATGTAAACTTAATGAAATTCTATATTATTATCCAGCTCAGGGATCATATGGGAGACGCGTAAGTCCATCGGCGGTCGATGGCGAGCGTTAAGTGCTAAGGAAGTCAACGCTATCGAAGAGGGATATCAACGATACATTAGGGAATTGCAAATCGGCAAAATGGATGCGGACTATCGGATAATGTTGGACCCAAAACTAATGGTAAAACAAAAAGTTTTCTCTTGAAATTTTTAAGGCTTGGATCTAATTTAATTTCTGGACCATAAGAAGCGTCTATAGTTACTTAATTTTTTTAATCATTTTTCATTGTTCCTAGGTGGATTATCTGAATATGGAAATGCTAAGGCCGCATCGTAGATACATGAGACGCACCTTTCAGACTGGGCTTTGGCTGCAATATCGTACCTCAGCACATCAAGTACAGCTACATGCAAAGATCAACAAACTTCAGATTGACAATCAATTGTCAGAATGCGTCTTTCCAGTTATATTAGCTCCAGTGCCACTGCCAAAGAGCGTCACGCAGAGTACAGGTATTATTTATTATCCTTCAGATGCGAAAAACATCTTTTATTGCATCTCCTGTAGTATGCATTTCAATTTTAATTCTCAAGTATAGATATAGATTGTACCTGAGAGAAAATTTTAGACAGTTAATAAATCAGTACGATTGGTACTATGAGATTCTAAATTGTAAGTAAAAAAAACTTTGAATCTTCTACCGATCAAAAGTTTAGTTACATCTGTACTTCAAACAAGATTTTTTTTAGAAATCTGGTTTGTAAAATACTATAAGATTGAAGGTTAATCATCGTATGATGAAATGTAATTTCTCAATTTTTTTAAGAATTATGTATCTATTTTTCTATTTTTTTCCTATTTTTTGTTTATTTCTGTAGTCATGAAACCTTTTGCGGAGCTAAGTATGGTCAAACGCCTATTGGAGCACAGCTCTGTGCAACAATTCCGATACTTCAAAGTTCTCATACAAGAATTTCATATCAAGGTGGATATTGTCTTCATAAACGCGATAATGGGCTTACTTGAGGCGAATGAGGTCAACGACACGGAAGAGGTGAGACGCGAGATATTGCGTCTTATTTAGATCGTTCTGTAACATATAGATGATCTTGTTCGTTTGTTTTAGAGTGCTTTATTCTGTAAAGACATGAAACTAGTCGATGAACCATTAATGTACCACGTCAATTTGATCACCACGGCCGAACAGAAGAACTTTTTCGATCTACTGCACTTTTCGCCTCTCAAGGTGTGTCACGTTTCAATATATGGATACAAAAATGTAAATGCAAACGTTATCTGACAGTTAAATCTTTATCTCCTTTTTCTTTTTTTATTCACAGATACACATCAGTTTTTCAATGACCGGAAGCGGAGGAGGGCCCTCCGCGTTGCCGCAAGTATTGAATGTGCTTTTGCAAGGAATTGGAGTGACGCTGACAGATATTAACGACATTGTGTTCAAGTAAGGCCTTTAATTAATAATTACAACTTACAATTAGTACAATTAAAGATATTTAAAATTACAATTAAAGATATTTAATTACAATTAAAGTTATTTAAAAGCGTACTAGAATTTCTGAACTTTGTAGTCTTCGTATTGTACAAATTCTGAGACTATAAGATTATAAGTATTCTTTCTTTTATTGATACAGATTGGCATACTTTGAGAGAAATTACGTGTTCATGACGCATAAGCAGCTCGTCTCCGAGGCGAGCACTCATTACGCGGGTCAGGCAATTAAACAAGCCTACGTACTCGTGCTAGGACTCGATGTGATCGGTAATCCATATGGACTTGTGATCGGAACTATGAAGGGTATCGAAGATCTGTTCTACGAACCCTTCCAAGGAGCCATACAGGGCCCAGGAGAGTTTGCGGAGGGCCTGTTCCTCGGAGTGCGCAGCATGTTAGGCCATACCGTCGGCGGAATGGCAGGCGCTGTATCGAAGATTACAGGAGCAATGGGTATGCATCTTCCTCTTTACATTTTGTCTTTTAAATTTTGCTCGACTAAAAAATTGTATTTTTACACTCGCAAAAGATAGTATTACGCAAGAACTTTACATTATACTTAATTGTCGTAATTTTTAGCATTTGACAATTTTATACTTTAACTTAAAATATTACAATATTTATAAATTTTGTTACTTACGTTTTTGCAGGCAAAGGTATAGCTGCTCTAACTTTTGACAAAGATTATCAGCGAAAGAGACAAGAACAGCTCACTAAACAGCCCGCCAACTTACAAGAAGGTCTTGCACGAAGCGGAAAGGGTTTAGTAATGGTAAGATTGCGAATTAATTATTCTGTTAATTATTTAATTTAATATATTTACGAATTTCTTTATGTCATTTGATAGGGTGTAGTCGATGGTGTGACTGGTGTGGTAATGAAACCTTTATCAGGAGCGAAAGAGGAAGGAGTAGAAGGATTCTTCAAAGGGTTTGGAAAGGGTGTTGTTGGACTTGTCACTAGGCCTACTGCTGGTGTTATTGATTTTGCAAGTGGTTCCTTTGGAGCAGTTAGACGGTATGACTTGTTAATTATGCAAAATCAATCTTAATTAATGAATAAAACAATTAATTAATGTTTGGAATTGTTCAGAAATTGATTGTTAATGTATACAATAGTAGATTACTTTAATAGGAGATTATCTTTAATGTATTTATTTCAGAGCTACTGAATTAAATGAGGAAGCAAAGAGAGTACGATCGCCCAGATTTCTGCAACCGGATAGTCTCGTTAGGCCATATATAAAAGATGAAGCCGAAGGCAACAAAATATTGATAGTAAGAGTTTTATTCTTCTAAGAGTTCTTAATATTTTTATCTTCAAAATTATTAAATAAATTTTTAAATGGTCTATTCTTCGTAGATGCATTCTATTATAATAGTACATTTTTATACAAAATACGTATCATTAATTTGTATAGGATTATATTATAAATATTATAAATAAATGAATAAAAGAAAATTAAGATACTCCATAAAGAAATATTTTTTATAATAAAAATTAATATTTTTGTAAAAAAATTATATAGAATTAAGTTTTATTATCTTATATGTATGAATATTCTTGTTATACACAACAAAGTTTATAATTTATTTACACATATTTAGACATATGCAGAAGGTTTTCCATATAAGATTTCTTTTTCATATAGGAACTAGAAAAGGGGAAATATGCGCATACGGACGTTTATGTCTATCATGTGTTCATCAATAAAGACGTGCTTTTACTCACCGACAAAAGATTATCGTACCTTGAACGTAGTGATTTGTTCGGTGGTTGGCGGGTTAGTGTTTATTACATTAATCAATTGATTTTGTTCATTAGTGTTTATTACATTAATCAATTGATTTTGCTCAAAATAAAAGAACTAATATATCTATGTTTTTATCTTTTTTTTTTTTTTCAGGTTGATTGGAGTCACACTTGGAACGAACTTAGCGAATCGGCAAAAGTCGTAGAGAAAGGTGTACAGATTTTTATTAAGGATACTAGTAAGAAAAAGAAACTCGGCCTATTCGGCAATACATCTCAATCAAAAATACTTTTAATAACAGATTTTAATATTAAACAGGTATGTACTTTGATACATAATTTCACGAAAGTATTTTTTATGAAATGTTATATTATTTTTCGTTATATGTTGATGTATATTTTATTACTTCATGAGTCATTATCTTTTCCATAGTTATTGTGCAGTAAAATACAGGAACAAATTAATCAATCCGGAGCATAACGCGCAAATGTGAAAGAGAAACACTCGAGCAATTTCGAGTTATATCAGAAAAGAAAACAGGCGAATGAGAAGGCAAATTAAGTTTCTTTACTTCCGAAACGCTTCGCGAAAGAATTCGCACAATTTTTATGCACGTTTTCTACAGACTATTCTTCTATTTATAAGACTGATACTGCGTGATCGCAACAATCAGATAAAAGGACATTACTTATATAGTGTACGAAGAAACTGAAAGGACGTAAACAGAGACGTAAAAATATAAAAGTATCAAAAACTGAAAGGACGTACGGGACGTACTTTTTTACTTTATTTATCACGCAGTTGTTCAGAACTTTTATGTTATCAATATTATTACCGAGTGAACAACGTTAGATTGGCACAAAAGATTCGTCACAATCTATCAAATAAAACTGAGAAAATGAAATTACATAACTTTAAAATTATTTTTATCTTGATTAAGATTTTATATATATATATATTTTTTAATTGATCGATCTCTTAAAAAGATTTAAATCAATTCTTATTAACTTTATGAAACTTTATAGGAACTTTATAGAAAAAAATCTTTTGTGCCAAGATAATAGTTAAATGTAGAAATATCGCAAAAAAGAGTAATGTTTTTTTAAATTTGTATTTATAGAGTATCGCTTCGACACGATTAGCGAATCGTTTTAGTCATGCAAGAATTACCATTTCCACTGTATTGTTAAGAGCTAGATTTACTATGATCACGAAGCGGAATCGATTAATCGGGCGAGATTCGAAAGTAATTTTAAGACAACAGTAAATTGTACAAATTGAAGTGAACTGAATTGATAAGAAAAAAAACTGAATCTCATTTTGATGAAAATGAAATTAAATTATAACAGAACAATAAAATTATTTCTACATATTTGTTGAAATATTATGCAGATTTTTTATGAGAATTTGGTAAACTGATATTGTTTTTATATTTATAGGAAGTTAGTTTACCACGCAACGCTAACTTGCCGCATTGTTAATCATTGTAACGCGAACGTTATCATTAAGTGATACGTATGTTAATTGATAAAATAATGATACGCTTAATTATCTTCCTGCTAACGATATCCAATAAAAATATTGAGGGATTTGCTATAAACAGTATCTTCTATAGACGCATTGTTAAAATGTAATAAATTTTATTATTGAGCTTTAACGCCTAAACGATTGTGCATCGGTGATATTTCTACCTCGTTTTATTCTTCTTAACACTAGTTAGTAATTATATAGAATTGTAACTAATAAAAAAAAATTTAACGAAATTATTTAAATATATAGTAATTAACGTGATCAATCCTTGTAATTAATTTTTTTTCACTCGACTTGGAAAGTTTCAGAATCAAAGCGAAAGCATTCAGTACTAACTTAATTCGTGCGACGCAACTTATTATTACTTATACATATTTATTACTTAATATACACTGTGCTTATTATGTAATTAATTTATCTATATTGTTCTGTTGCATTATTTAATAAAATTATACATATTTTCTGTACATTCCGTCTTGTGTATTGCTTTTTGCTCGTTTAATAATTAACTTTTGATTCATTTTTTTACTTTTATTACGTTAATTAATATCGGAAAAAATGAGGTCTTTATTATTAAAATAATTTTTTTTAATATTTCTAAAATATATTTTTAACATTAATTGTATCTGCTGATGCTGAAAAACTGTAAATAAAACAATTCAATGCACAGTTCGAATGACTACAAATATGGTATATATGTAAGTACATATGTATATAGTATACATATATAGTAATTCAAATTGAATTATTTAAACATTAAAGATATAGCTTTGATTATTATGGTCATTATTTATATTTCTTATTGTTGAATTTTCAAATTGTGTGGTCCAATAAAATTCTAATTGTTTATATTACGTCTGAAAGAAGAATGTTTCCATATATATATTGATTATTGCGAAGAATATTATTAAGGCCTCGGTAGTCTAAAGGTTTAGGACGCTCGTAATACAAGAGGTCCGACTCCCGACAGAGGTAATATTTTTCGCAATAAATTTATTTACACTTTTTCAGCATATTTCAACATTTTCTTAATACGATGCCTGATTGAGTATCAAATTATAAAAAATTGTTTGTCAATTTAATTCGTGATATTACTATAGTAGTTTAATTGCGTTTATAAGTTTGGAAAAACAATTCGACGTACAGATTGAATGACTACAAATATGGTTTATATATATGCAAGTACATATATTTATAATATTAGGTGTTGGAATTAATTCGTAGCGTTTTCAAGTGATGGGAAGTACTTTCATTAATGTATTTTTTAATGCTCATGTGAAATAAATAACATTCTTTCATTAAAAAACGCTACGAATTAATTCCAACACCTAATATATATATATATATGTAATTCAAATTGAATTATTTAAGCATTAAAGATCTAGCGACGGCTATTATTATTTTTTATTATTGAATAATCATTTAATCATTATGGGATAAAATTACATGCTTGTTGGTCCGAATTTTTTTTGGCTGGGCTTCCCCATGGACCAATATTTTCGAAATTCTGGAATTTTATTCTTAACGATATAAATGAATGATTATATTTATATGTTGAAAAAATGAATACTTATAAATTTAAGAATTTTAAGCACGACTACGTATACGTGAATACATCAAACGATAAACAAAGCCATGATCAGTCAAAATTAGATGTTTCGAATAATACATTATACATATATTCTTTTATTCAATCAATTTATTTCAGATCTGATTGCGCGCCGATAACTTTCGGACTTTCAATTAACACAATCATTTTGAAACGCTAATAATCCTCCCTAAATTAGATTAGAAAGAAAGTAAGAAACTTATTACGAAATTGCGAAAAATATTACCTCAGCCAGAATTCGAACTCGGGATCTCTCAACTTTCCGGGAAGAGTCTTAGCCAACTCGACCACTGAGGCTTCGGAAATATTTTTCCCAATAAGGTCGGTTGTTTTACCTTTTAGTAAATTTTACCTGTGAAGTAAATCTGGTAATCCGCGCATGTGATTGAATAATTTTGCTACTTACCCAACAGGTAAAATTTACCAAAAGATGGAACAACCGGTCCTAATTGATATTTACAGAAAGAACGCGTTATATAGCCGCATATATATAAACATAAGATTTTTAAGCATGACCGTATGTGTAAATACATCAAATACGATAAAGAATCATGACCGATCAAAGTTAGATGTTTCGAATAATACATTATATATTCTTTTATTAAATCAATTTATCGAGATCTGATTGAGAAAGAAAGGAAATAAGAAACTTATTGCGACCAAATAACTTTGATCGATCATGGCTTTCTTTATCGTATTTGATGTATTCACACTTAAGATCATGCTTAAAAATCTTATGTTAATATTATTTTTATTGTATTTTGAACAGCATTTATAATTGTATCTTGTTAAATATATTAGAATTACTTGATAATTGTGGATAAATTTTTCTCATTAACTATATCTCGTAAAATATTTCGTTGATCAAACATGTCTCTTTGTTATTGAGGTAGTTCGTTTTATGCATAATGTATTGTTTCTTCTTGTTTACCGTATATAAACAAGGATAAGTGATGTACCATCATTATGCATCCATAATCTATAATCTATACCTACTTACAAACCAATATATGTAACATAGAGGAATTCAAATTAATCATATTATTATAATTTTCAAAATTTCTATACATTTTTCTCAAAATTATATTGATAGCGAGAATTGAAAACGTTTTCTCTTCAGCAATGGTATAACTTCGTTTCACTTCACTACGAAACAACTCGACAATATAAAACAATATAGCATATTTACCCAATTTGTATCGACTGACACAATAATTAAACTGCTAGAGTACGCTGATATTAAAATTAATCATAACTCTGATAATATGTGTTATTATCAGAGGGAATTATCCAACCAAACTGTAAAATATTAAACAAATTCTCTTATAATGCAATAAATAATATAATTCTTATAATATAGTTCTAGTTCTATAAAGTGTATAGTTGTAACATTTCGAATCTTGTCATAACAACCAGAAATTCTTTCTAATTATATTACGACAAGATCCGAGATTTTGATTTAAATAAAATGCATTTAATTATATACGCACACACGTCTTATTCATAACAAACCATAATCAAATAAAATTTCTCATTATTGTAATTTCACATTATTGAAAGAATAGAAAGTCTGTTACATACCTACGTTTTAAGAATTATTTTTTAACCTTTTTTCGCTCAAAAAATGGGCGGTCCGCCAGATACCACTATTAATTGAGATCCCACACCAAAAGTGTATACAGTGGCTGTGTTTAGCGAACTCGACAGTTAAGTGAGCGCTCATTGGCTTAATTTCCACCGAGGGTTTAATCCAGATCAGAATATAAGAACCAACCAACTACAGGCGAGTATTCTCCTGTTACAGTCAAACGACAGGAGAATGCTGGACTATAGTTGGTTGGTTCTTACATTCTGATCCGGATTAACTCTCGGTGGAAACTAGGCCATTGTTATCGCTATATTTTTTTATATCATCCAAGCAGCATTTTAAATCTGGAAGAATACATTAGTAGTGAGCGCTCATTCAACTGTTGAGTCCACTGAACGCAGCCATTATATCTGGACAGGTTTTGTTGTTCAAAATTACGTTTTACGTCTGAACTGCCTGAACAACCACTTTGACATGTTTTTGAAAAAAGAGGATCTTTAAAACAAGATAATTATAATCTTGTTTTATTTAATTTCTTCGTAAATCATTTTTTAATTAACCCTTTCATGTCAGTTGCATTATAGGTATTAATATACTACCATTATTATTATTCAGATAGCAGACACCCATCATTATGACGTGATGGTCACGTCGAATTTTACATCATTCATTATCAAAATTAATTAACCTAAAAATGACGTATTTTTGACGGTCCTAAATCGCAGTTTGAAACTGTGAAGTTACATCGCTAATGCTCATCCCTTTATA